CATCTCCCAACACAACGCTGTTCGCTATCATGGCGGATGGATACATGAGAAAGCACGAGGATTCGACCGTGAGTCGATCCGTAGCTTCTAAATTCCTCTCTGTGAAACCATTCAAAAGTTACATCCAGAAAGCCAACGAACAACAAACCGTCCCCCAGCAAAATAAATGTAAACACATCGTACCTTGAGGTGATTTTCGTGAAGAAAAATGCTGGAAATTGACGGTAATCCGTTTCAGATGTGTTCTCTCTGTGTCTCTGTGTGTGTGTGTGTGACAAAATGGAGGTCCTGGGCGAAACTATGATGAAATGGTCGGCATTTTCCTGTTCGGTGAATCATTTTACGCATGGGGGTTGCGTGGCAGGGATTGGGATTTTTAGTAGCTAAAAAATCTGTCAATCTACTCAAGAACCACCTACTGCTTTCCTGAGACTCATCCGGGTCCAACGAGGTGTCACATGATGAAATCCGCCAATCACAGGCTTAGAAAGGTCTCCATCGACTTAGACAGAGAAGAGAAAATTCCATGGAGGAGAGATATGAGAGCTCAAAATGGCTCAAAATGATGCCAAACTGCTTTATTAGGATCTATTGAACATTATTAGTGGTACAACAAGTGAATATATAGTTATATAGTATATACAATTAGAATAGAGCAGCACAACAGCTGGTTCCAAAAATGAGAATTTGGCATGACTGTCCGTACTCAGACCGCTATTACGTTGGCCTGCTTCACTCAATTGTAGTAAAATTTGTTTGTGGGGACTGTAAAAGATGTTGTGCTGTGACAGTGGCGTATTTTTAGGCTTGGATCTGTATTATTTCAAATTAAATAAAAGTGCTTTTTTTTCAGGCGAACCTGAAACTTTTCAATTTGAGCTGTGTTCCATCTTCATTCACTATTACCAGTAACATATACACAATATGTACGCATCTGAGCAAGTGTATCACAAGTTTTACCTGTATTATACCATCAAAATTATTAAAATAGACCTTGTAGTTAGAGATCTACACTCTCTTTAGTATGGGTATGCAATTTTCGAGCAGAGGCCTGAAAATAGGGTTAGGGCTAAAGAGGTTTTAAGTGGATGTCGTTGAGAACCTGAATAAGAGCAGTTTCAGTACTGTGGTGCTGTCGAAAGCCTGACTGGAAGACATCAAAGCAGTTATTTACGGCCAAGAAGTTGTTCAGCTGTTGGGAAAACGCTTTTTCAGTTATTTTACTTAACAATGGGAGGTGTGATATTGGCCTATCATTGTTCATTGTTGCAGAGTCTAAACTAGCCTTCTTTAGGAGCGGTTTAATAACTGCAGTTTTTAGGGCTTGTGGGAAGACACCTGAGAGAAGGGATGTGTTTACAATGTGTAAAAGATCAGTGGTCATCTAGTTTGAAACATTTTATAAAAAGTGTGTTGGTAGAATATCCAAGCAGCAGGAAGATGACTTCAGATGTTGTATAATGTCTTCTAGGCTTCTACGGTCGATTGAATGAAATTGTGTCATGATATTTGAATGGATGTTATTTAGAGAAGGGGACAACACATGTCCTGTGGTTGGTGTGGAGGCACTGACTGCTTGATTCCATGCCAGGTGGATTGGAGTTTAGCAGTTACCGACACTGGAGGGTTGGTTAGTCTGTCGACGGTAGCAAATAAGGCGCGTGTATTGTTATTGTTTTTGGTTATGATGTCAGAGAAGAAGGACTGCCTTGCAAATAAGCCCAGGGCCCCCACTGACTCTGACATCCCCAGGACAATTTCCTGTTACACACTCTTAGACAACTTTTCTCAATTAATATACACTTGACACTTTAATAACATACTTTTTTGAAATACTATTATCTGTTTGTTTACTATATCTTATTGTAAAATTGCATATTTAAAATTTTTAAATTAGGTCTTATCAGTGGCGGGCTATGGATTTTATACCTGGGCCTTCAGTGCATCAATCCAGCATACCTGCAGCGGATCCACGCATTCCACCACACAAGAGCACGAGCCATTCAAATATTATTCATAAAAACGACACGATAGACAAATGAACAGTCGTAACGTTACTATGTAAAAAAACAAACGGAGTTTGTCACTTACCAAAACTTAAAGAATTTAATCCCAGTGCATCGTCTCAGTTCCAGTAAGAAGTCCTTCTCGATTCATGGACGCCAGTGATGACAGTCGAGTCTCCCCAGTTGTATTTCGCCGGTCTGCTGCGGCCGGTTCACAGCGGGGCCGGGATCCCACCTCCGCCGGGGCACCCGCCGGCCGGCGCAGGCCGCACGCCGGGCCGTGATTGTGGAGCTGTTTCCCTGCAAACGTGTTCGTTGAGTTGTAGATCCACTTGAGTCTCTCCAAAAGTTTTCAAAAGCTAGTTGCTATGGTGTCCTCAGGTTAGTGCAGCGTAGCTCCAAACAACAGTCCTTTACATCAGTCTGTTAAAAGCACTTTGCAAACTATTCAAGCACCCATGGCACAACACTGCTCTCGCTCTCCGAGACTCCAGAGCACTTCCGGGTTCCCGGCGCCACGTCAGGAGCGCGCCGATGACGTCATGACGCATCACACGGCGGAAGAAGCCCATCCATCGACATCAGTCCCTCCAGAGGGCCAGGTCGTATACTCTGATCGTGAATCTTTAACCTAAATGTGTTTAGAGGAGGGCAGTCAACTGCGTCCTGCCTTAAGTTGTCCCATGCCATACTGACTCTGGCCGTCAAGCTCCCCCCGCGCCAGAGACATCTCCTCGCAATGTTTTTCCCCTCAACTTCACGATTAACCCAGGCACCTCCATCCCTCCATCCTGCCATCCTTTCATGTTCTGTTACTTCTACCTTCCACGTTCCACCCACCTCGGCCAACTTCAGTTAACTCCTCTACCGGCTACCCCAGCTGCACAGACCGCTCAAACAACAGAACAGGTAGGTATATGGCACAGGTAAGGGAGCAGCTTGGGGTTGGTTTTCTTGCCAGGGACGCAACAGTTGTTTCTTCCTGCCCATGCCCCCCCCCCCCTTCTCTTCCTCCACTAGCGTTGCCATCCTATCTTTAACGCGCCTCCTCATTTCCACAGCTCCGCCAGCAGACAATTCCAGTGTCTTCTGACTCCCCCCCCCCCCCAGTTCGCAACTCCTTCAGCCTTCCATTCCTTCACTCGAGATCCTTACCCCCACGACCTTCAGTCACTTATCCATTTCCCTCCTTAAGTTCAAACCCTCCACTGTACAGGTTTACATAAGCGGAATTAAGTTTTACACAAACTTTCCTCAGGGCTCCGTGCCCAGCCTACCCACTCACACGTCGCCATGCTTCTCGAAGGTTCCTAAAGCCAAATTACGCCTAAACGGCTGCCCCTCACTTCGGACCTCCTCACCTGCGGCATCCTCACCCTCAGCTCAGGTCATCTGTCACCCTTCATGGAGAAAGCATTAAAGTCCACGTTCTTGCCAGATTCTTTCGCTGCTCCGAGTTCACCGCCTTGAACTCCATCCGTCCCGAGACGCCACCGCGTCAGACATCACATCCATCCTCCCGACACAGTCGTCTATTACCTCAATGCCACAAGACCAACCAATACGGTCGACCTCAACCCATCTATCTTTTCCAACCAGACTCGTACTCAAGTCTGTACGAACCCATCCGCGACTACTTAAGCTCAAGTTCAGCCAGCCGAACTCCCCGCAAGATCCCCTGTTGCGGTCTCGGGCTCACCACCACTTTCGCCATATCTTGGGCCGATCCATAATACCCCCCGAGTTTACTCAGCGCCGCCTCCACCGCTTCAAGCCAAGGAATTTCCGACCACATCCTCAAGATATGTGATTGTTGGCCTTCCCCCACGTACCTCTCACAAGTTCATTCCAACCCGAACGACACCAGAAACACCATCGGCACCAGTCTTTATGGAGCTATCTTTGGGGACTCTGCACTGCCAGAGCTTCTGAAGAGACAACCCCACCCTACAGTCTCTGTTCCCGCCAGCCGCCGGACATCAATGGTCCCCCTTCGATTGCCTAACCTCCTTCCTACTAACCCTCCTCGTTTCTTCTTCCTTACATCCCTTCATCTCTTCATCCCTACCCTACATCCATTCATCCCTCTACCCTACATCCCTTCATTCCTCTACCCCTACCCTACATCCCTCTACCTCGACCCCTACCCCTCATCCCTTCATCTCTTCATCCCTACCCCACATCCCATCATCCCTCTACCCTACTCCCCTTCATCCCTCTACCCTACATATATTCATCCCTCGACCCCTTCCGCTTCTCGAATCTAACAATCATTCCACTATGCAATACACCTCTCGAAACTCATACTGTTATTGGTGTGGTCCTTGTTAGTGAATGAGTGATGGTCAAAAGAAAGAAAAGACAGTGAGCTCGAGGCAATACAGCAAAAGTTATCTTTAGGTTTGGATTTACTTTCACTTTCATCCAAACAGGCCCAGGTTTCACACTGAGTAAGGATCAACAAATTAAGAGACTTGTTGTATTATGCTACAATGTGTCATTTTGTAACTTTTTTGGTTGTTGGTGTTCCGTGGGATATTGTTAATGTAAAAAATGTTCAGCGGCTCAGAAAAGGTTGAAAAACACTGACAGAGAGGTCTGGGACAGTGGACTGGCAGAATGGGTGGTGGTTCTGATTCTGGCCCATCCAGTCTACAGTTCATACGTTGCGAGTCCCCCGACCCCTGGAGTATTGCAATGGTAAACTATACTGAAGCTGTTACATTATGAACCTGTCCTTGGTCACTTCTGTTACACCAAATGCCATAATTCAAGTTTTTCATTGCCTCACACTGCTGTGCACTATATCCAATAGAAACTGTACAAAGTCATCAACTTACTACCTGGCTCTGCTCACACATCTAAACATTTAGGACTAAAGTTATGCACTAAGAGAAGTTATCTTCCATCAGTTTATTTAACATCATAAATATATCAAATATACTATCAACTTACACACCAACTTTCAATTCAATTCAATTTTATTTAAGCAGCTTACTGTCACAAATCACAAATTAATTGAATTCATAACAAGGCAAAATTAAAATGATTATAAAAACCCTAAGTAACCTCCAGCTACATAAAATCTACCCCTGTAAGAGGGCGGAGGAAGAGTGGTTGTGCCACTTTAATGCGTTTTCTTGATTTGTTTTCAAAGGCGATTGCCTTTGTCAATATAATAGATATGCATTGCTCCGTGTCTTTTTGTCTCTGGATTCATAAATGTTCGGAAGCATTTGGATGTAGAAAACATTAAAACCATGAACAATGCTACAATTGTTCCAATCAGTTGAATGCATTAAACAGCGCATTTCAAATAAAGATATCATTAATCATTTACTGACACTTTTGTTATTTCATCCATAGAGTATCTAGCGAGAGGTCAACATTTTATAACAGAGGATATGTTTACATGTATTCCGTATTTTGGACATTTGCAATCCAAACATGATGGGATTCAAAAGTGGTTGTATGATGAGAAAATAGAGTGAGAGGGAGATATCCAGCACTCTGGGTACACTGGTCATATCAAATCTACTCTGAACTATTTCAAAGCAGCAGCCAAAAGAGAAGTTGAGCAGAGAAGTGAGGTGAGGTGTGCAGGTACTGACAGCTCTCTGTCTGGTCTGTTTACAACCAGAGAAACAAACTTTAAGAATTTTCATGTAAGAGTAAAGGATTGGAAGCAGAGGGACTAAGATGGTGAGAACAGTACCAAACAATCCATAAATGCTATTCACTTCAGTGTCAGAACACGCCAACTTAACAACAAGGTAGTTATGACAATACAAACTGTTTATGATGTTTCCACAAAATGTCAAATGGATGTTTAAGGATAAAGTAATTAAGACTTTCACACAGCACTGCAACCAAAGTATACCAATAAAGGTAACAGCCTTGTTAAATGTCATACGTGTGTTATATTGTAGAGGACAACAGATAGCGAGATATCTGTCATAAGACATGACGGCTAAATTACAAAACTCTATATTTACATAAGTATACAAACAGAAGATCTGCAGGAAACAAAGTGGAGCAGAAACAGTGTGAATGTCAGAGAGGATCTGAACAACAAGGAATGGAAACAACCCTGCACTACCAAACAGTTCATTTACAAACAGGCTGCAGAGAAAAAGGTACATAGGTTCATGTAAGCTTCTGTTCATACAGATCACCACAATCAGAGAAATGTTGACAATAACTATAACAATGTATAACATTGCAGTTAACATAAAATACAAGTATCTCAAAGTCCCTACATGTATGTAAGTGTCAAGAATAAAGTAAGTTAAAGTTGAATTTATCATCATTCTATTTTTAGATGACAAAACTAATTGTAACAAGGTTCGCTTCTCATTTCTCAAACCTAACTGAATCATTTGATTTAATTGAAAGACATTGTTCTCAATAACACAGGCAATATTTTCATGTTTGCCGAGCTTTACTTTGAAAGCACTGCTTCACAGTTTTCATTGAAAATGATCAAGCATAGACAAGAGAAGAACTCACATGCAGCAAGACTTACAATTTCGTGCCCAGCCGCAACGAATTAACAAATACATTTAAATTAGATTTCTTAAATGACACAAAAACATTTATACTACACACAGATGAATGTGTGTAACCTGCTGATTAGCGGACTGCCAATGTCAGGCTGCTTTGAAATATGTTGTTTATACCTCTTAATGTCAAGGAAGCAGACCCACCTCAGTCATGTCATGGCAGACAGGGAATACCAGAGATTACCATCTAACAAACTTTGAGCTTTTTCTGCACACTACACACAGAAGAGAGATATAGAGCAGCGTATTTGTGTATTAATTGCTGGCAAGTAATAATATATATATATGTATATCTATATGACTGAGTTTAAGATATTTTTTCCAGACACCCATCCAGTCAGAGATTTTTATATACATACACATAGATATATATTTATTATACAAACATTTACTACGTTGCTGGTTTTAATTAATTTCAAAACTACTGTACAACTGTCTACTATGAATAGATTTAATTTTATATTTCATATATTTATAAATTAATTTATCCCCATATTTTAATTTTTGCGCTATTTAATATTCAGATTCTGTTTTTTTTATTCTTAAAATTAAATACGTATTTAAATTGAGTTTTACAACCTTAGTTCGGGAACAAGGACCACACCCCAAACCTATCTCATTTCCTCCACACAAAGTATTTAAGCACAACTGACCCAGTGAATTCCTCTTCAACTCAGCTTCAACATGATGTGCGACAGACGAACAAAACCTTAAACTGCTAACCTTATACAAAGGCTCTCTCTTGACCCTTCCGATAAACTGTTTCAAGAAGACCAGCTATATCCTGAAGTCCCGGCGCTCCTTCCTTTTCTCACCATGTTTCGTCATCAGCAACCTGATGCCGGTGACAAAGTCCAGAGAGATGTGCGACCAAGGCCTACGTGGCACCAGAAGAGGGTGTAGTAACTGTCAAAAAAGAGAGTTGAGATCCCAGGAGAGCTGCCTTAAATGAAGGAATACATGTTCGGTATGTGAATCATGCTAAGGGGACATAAAGCGTATACTTATAGTTAAAGGATGAAATCTAATAATCATATTAATGCAAGTGTGTAGTACATAGAATTATGAAGTGATTTAACAAATGTAAAACTGATAATAATAATGTATGTGTATCTGAGTAAAGTGAAGTCTGTGTGTGTGTGTGGAAAGAGCTGATGTAAGCAGGGTGGGGGCCTTAAAGGCTGAGATCATAACAGATGTTGGGGTGTTGTCCGAGCACATACACGGGTGTACCCTGAAACACGCTCCAACATTGAGGAAGTGAGAGCATCCACAGAGGGAAGTTAGATGTGTCCAGCACACACACACACACAGACACAGAAAGTTAGGGTGTTGTTCGCAGCACACACATATAATCAATGATGTCATGTAAATCACATGCCGAGTGAGGGAGTGTTGGGGAGGAGGGGGGAGAGAGAGCTCAAAGTGTTATAAAAAGAGAGACTTGCAAAGAGCAAGACGGGATTCAACGCGGGAGCCACCCAAGTGCTCCACAGAGGAAACACTGGACCTCGACAGCCGCATCGGAGGACTCCGTCTCTGTTCACGGAAAGAAGACAGCCGTTCCTGGACAAAGATTGAAAGACGGAGATTTTCCTCTCCCCCCTGTTTGACTTTAACAACCGGACAACAGATGGACGCAGCCGTTAAAATCTAACCTGGCAATTTACCAAGAGCCCGGATCCAGAAGAGGAAAGCTGCCATAACTGACGCGACTGGTAGAAGCGCCCGGCCAGGGTGGCCCCTCGGCCGAGTGCACGTTACCAGAGGAAGCAGGGTAGACGTCAGGAGTAAGGGTATTTAGCAGAGCCAGGCGAGTTTCCTCACAGAACACCAGCTCGCCAATCTTTTAATAGAGAGCTGAGTCAGTAGGTAGCCCCGTATCGGGCCAGAGAACCCCCGGATCTAACATAACCCTGATGGGCGCTGCCGGGAGGTCTTATTCTGGGCGCAGACCTGACAAGCGACCACGAACTCCCCTGTGTCGTCCTCCAGCGATGGCTGCCCGAGGAAGCTGACCGTCCGCCTTACCCCTGGGTGGCAGCTGAGTCTGGGGGAATGTCCCCACTGCAGGACTTTAGAGCGGAGGTTAGCGGGGACGAAAAGGCGGTTGGGAGGGCAGCCGTTAGGAAGCTGTGCTCCATTGATGGCTCGTTTGACCTCACTCTCAATGCCCCAGGTCACCCACCACGCAGGAAGGAGGCAGGATGGAAGTGGGGTCCCTTGGGGCATCCTCAGGCTCGAACTGACGGGATAGGGCATCCGGTTTCACATTCCTAGAGCCTGGACGATATGATAAGGTGAAATTAAAGCGGTTAAAGAATAATGCCCACCTGGCCTGCCTGGAGTTCAGCCTCTTCGCCGATCTGATGTACTCCAAATTCTTATGGTCAGTCCATGCTTGAAATGGTTGTCCAGCCCCCTCCAACCAGTGTCTCCACTCTTCTAACGCCAGCTTGAGGGCCAACAGCTCCCGGTTGCCCAAGTCATAGTTCCTCTCTGCTGGGGACAGCCTCTTGGAGAAGAAAGCACACGGGTGGACCTTGTTATCCTTGGGAGAGCGCTGCGAGAGAACCCCTCCTACCCCCACATCGGAGGCGTCGACCTCGACGATGAACTCGAGTTCGGGGTCGGGCAAGGCGAGAATGGGAGCAGAGGTAAATCACCTCTTGAGGGCCTGGAATGCTTCCCCTGCTTGAGGATTCCACAGGAACCTGGTGCCTTGAGAGGTGAGGGCATGGAGAGGGGCAGCCACAGAACTGTAGTTTCTAATAAAACGTCTATAAAAGTTAGCGAAACCCAGGAATCTTTGTCGTTGCTTTTGGCTCGATGGGACCGGCCAGTCAGTAACGGCACTAACCTTGGCACCATCCATCTGGATGTTCCCTGGAGACATGATGAAGCCCAGGAAGAGGACGGAGCGTTGGTGGAACTCACATTTCTCCGCCTTGACAAACAGCTGATTCTCCAGCAGCCACTGCAGAACCCTCCAGACGTGCTGCTCATGTTCCATCTCGCTTTTGGAAAAAATCAAGATGTCATCCAGGTAAACAAACACAAATATATTCATCATGTCCCTTAGAACATCATTGACTAGGGCCTGAAATACAGCTGGGGCGTTGGTGAGACCAAACAGCATAACCCGGTACTCATAGTGGCCACTGGGAGTATTGAAAGCTGTCTTCCACTCGTCTCCCTCCCTGATTCTGACAAGGTGATACGCATTTCTCAGATTGAGCTTAGAAAAAATGGAGGCTCCCTGCAATAGCTCAAAAGCAGAGGAAATTAGTGGGAGGGGGTATCTGTTCTTAACGGTGATGTCGTTGAGGCCACGGTAGTCGATGCAGGGACGTAGTGTCTTGTCCTACTTACCCACAAAGAAAAAGCCAGCTCCTGCTGGAGACGAGGAGGGGCGAATGATACCAGAGTCCAGGGAGTTCTTGATGTACTGGCTCATCGCCTCCCTCTCCGGGGCAGATAGCGAGTAGAGGCGTCCCTTGGGAGGGGACGTCCCGGCGAGAAGGTCGATGGCGCAGTCGTAGGGGTGGTGAGGGGGTAGGGAGGTGGCACGGGTCTTGTTGAACACCTCCCTGAGGTCCAGGTATATGGGAGGAACCCCAGAGATGTCCGTGGTATCTGCAAAGGAGCCAGGGGACTTGGAAGACACATTAGGAGAGGCAGATAGAAGACAATATGAGTGACATTTGGTACTCCACCCCACTAAGCCAGTTAATGGTCGGGTTGTGTTTCTGTAACCAGGGATAACCGAGAATGATGGGTAACTGAGGCGAGTCGATGACCTGGAAGATAAGATGTTCAGAGTGGTTACCTGACATGAGAAGGCCTAGAGGTGGGGTGCGATGAGTCACACGACAGAGCAGGCGACCGTCCAAGGCGTTGGCATATAGGGGAACCTCGAGGGGCTCCAACAGTAGCTGGAGTTGCTCTGCCAACCCCCGATCAATGAAGCTCTCATCTGCTCCAGAGTCAATAAATACTGCCAGTTCCAGGGAAGTAACAGGAGAAGATAGGAGGGCGTGCGTCAGGGATCTGGGAGGAAGTGAAGGGGAAAGAGTTCGGCTCACTAGTAATCCTCTTCTTATTGATGAGCCTGGTATTTTGACGGGCATCTGGCCAGGAAGTGTCCCAGCTGCCCGCAGTACATGCACCTCCCCTCCCTTAGTCGGTGCTGACGCTCCTCTGAGGAGAGATGACTGCGGCCTAATTGCATGGGCTCTTCCCCTCCACCAGGGGGCGCTGTAGGTCCGGCGTGGAGAAGACTGCCCCCAGGAACTGGGAGGTCTCCTCTCGGCCTGGCGTCTCTCCATCCTTCTCCCATGAAGCCGGTTACCAATCTTGACAACCAGAGCCGCCAAGGCCTCCAGGTCTGTGGGTAAATCAAGAGGTGCTAATTGATCCTTGATCTCCTCAGAGAGTCCAAACCAGAAGGCATCTGCCAGAGATGGAAAGTTCCACTGGCTGCCCGCTGCTAGTATGCGGAAACAAATGGCATAATCAGCTGCCCGGCTGCTCGCCTGTCGGAGAGAAAAAAGTCCTCGGGCCGACTCTCTACCCGGGACCCCGTGGTCAAACATCCTTCTTTGGGCCCCGGAAAAATCCAAAGCAGAGCGGCAAATGGCAGATTGATTGTCCCACTCTGCTGTAACCCATTCCCGGGCCCTCCCTGAGAGGTTGGTAATGATGAGCGCCACCCTGGACCGTTCGGTGGGGTGATGAGGAGATTGAAGGCAGCTGGGTGGACTGGGCAGGTGAGTAGGATGAGTGTAATCAGGGGAAAGGCACACACACACACAGACACAGAGACATGAGGAAGCTAACGGGATGTTACAATATTCCCTTATATTTGGGGATTTTTTGACCTATGTAAAAATGGCCATAATCTCTCAAATATTGGTATCAGAAACCCCAGATT